TTACCTCATATTCGTCTGCCGTCTCCACAAGACAGTCAAACACACAACCAATGCATTGGTTTTAATACAGGGTTTGGTTTGAATAAATAGTGTCGGGGTATCATTGAGTTATGTATAGTATTTGTTTTTGTGTGTATAGTATTCGTCAATTGTGTATATATTTGACTGAAAATATTGTGAATAGTCGTCGACTTACAACAAATACATACACATCACGTATAAAGACATATACACTACACAAGACTATTCTGTAGTGTTATTCTGTATATTCATTGAAGTCATTCATACCATTATTTTTGGCATTGAATTGGGATGGGATTGGAGACCACATATTCTGCTACGATATGTGTTGTGGCGCCTATGCCTGTAATGTGAGACTTTGCACATGTTTTCCACACAAATGTATTCCTCATTCCCCGGAGAAAAAGAGTCACTTATATTATAAACCAAATTCTTTATAGATATGCAATATTGGATAAAAACGTTTATACATTAATACATATACCCTAATGTATTAATCGATTAAGAATTTCTTATTCTACTTTAAATTCTACATTTAGTTGTGGAAAATTTATGGAAAGGTATTGTTTGTCAAAAAATGTACATGGCGACGATAGAGCCGGTGATGAATATCCTGGATACTATTACACCATTCACTAGACTAGTTATAATTTAATATATTAATACTAATGAGGCATAACATTATACAGTGCAGAATAGCTTGTGCGCCAACCCATGGCTTTAATATTATAACATACAGTAAAATGATTATCATTACAATTCCTGCGCGACTGACGACTGTTCACTCTATAGGGCGTTCACTAGAAAAATGTGTTCATATTATTATAGACTAACAACCAGTGTGTGTACAATGTGTGTGAATTTTATTAAATATAATTTACAAATAAAATCTAACAATAATTAGAAAAGTAGACAAACTTTGTTTTCCTGTATTGTCTATACTATGAGGCAATTAATGGGAAAAACTTGTTTAAAAATATCGATCAAATATCAATTTTGTTGTTTGAAATATAATTATTTATTAACATTTATTTTCTGATATATACGGAGATATAAAAGGCATTCTCTGCCTTCTATTACGTGAAATTAATTTTGGTGTTTAATTTGATTGACTACTCCTTTGCTCTCTCTCTCTCTCTCTCTCTCTCTCTCTCTCTCTCTCTCTCTCTCCCCACTTGTCTTATCAGTGAATTATTAATAAAAATCTCGAAAATAAATAAAGGGATATATTATTTTTGATTTTTAATTTATATAATATTAGGGTTAATGCATTCGGCGAGAGAGAGAGAGAGAGAGAGAGAGAGAGAGAGAGAGCGCAATTTCGATACAATTTTGCACTAAAACAACAATATTATGAATGAATCCGTAATCAGACAAACAAAAAAGCAGATTATTGTATGGATAAGATTTAATCACTTAAATACTCCTATAGTGTAGTGTTTCCTTTCATAGCCTCCATAGAGTGAGTGTTGATTACAATCTCAATAATACTGTTAAAAAATCGTATTCTCTTTCGTTATCAAAAGCAAACAAAACCAGAAGTTATATATAAAAAGCCAATGAATATAATTGATGGCAAATCTTGATATTCATTTCATCAGTGAAACTGTTTTTATACAATTTTTTGATTGAATTATTATATTGTTTGACATTTCGATAAATGCTTTTTATGTATATTAATCGGTCAGAGATATGTTGTGCCCATTGAGACAATACATTGTAAATACAAATAAAATAACCGAGATTTATAGTGGAGATTACAAAACAGCACAATATAACACGTTAAATAAAAATCAATGTTTATACGATTCCTGTCTCTGAATACAAATTGTGAAAATGCAAAACACAGTAAAATAAAAATATAATTATAATCATTTTGTGATTCAATCCTATAATTATTATTATGTTTGAGTCTATTATTCCTTATGGAGAAAAACAAGACAATTCCAGTTCATATGAAAAACAATATTCAAATTATTAAGCATTAATCAAATCGGAATAAATAAAGGGATATATTATTTTTGATTTTTAATTTATATAATATTAGGGTTAATGCATTCGGCGAGAGAGAGAGAGAGAGAGAGAGAGAGAGAGAGAGAGAGCTGTTTTAAAAATGCTATGCAATTCTGTGGCCAAATAGTTATTAATATGACATGAAATGGAGAGAGAGAGAGAGAGAGAGAGAGAGAAATATGCAGACATTGGCACTGGTATGAAATGTTAGTTCACGTACCAACTCGTTGGAAATACTCGTCAGGCCTGGTAAGCCACGAAGTATGCATTTTTCGGGACTAAAGTTATTCCCCAAAACCAACCCGTATTTGAAAACAGTATTTAAATGCTATAATAGTTATCGCATTAAATGATAGATATATTGTAATAATAATTTTCAGCAAACCTTCTGTTCTTATTTACACAATAAAAAAAATGAAAGCCCGGAGCGAAAAATGTATTGAAAATTGCAAACATTAATGCATTTATATATTATAAGAATATGTATTTATTCTCTATTGTAAACACCGTTCGCTAAATATAAGGTTTTTTAAAAATATTTATTTTATATTTTATATTCTAATGATAATTGTGTGTTGAATGCAATTACGATTATAATATGTTTTATTTATTATATTTTAATATATTATATATAAACTCGATATTTATTTTACCATAATATGAGTGCTTATTATATTTATAAATAAAATAATAGTCCGTTCGTTGTTTCATATAATTTTCAGTTATGCCTCTAATGAGTGCACAACAAAACAAACACAAAATAAGTATTTCTTGTAATTATTGGCAATTTCTCAACAAAAATTTTTTCGTAATGCAATTTTTTCTGATTTTAAAATTTTCATTTCGAAATCAAAAACAACAATAATTGTTTGCATTAAACACAGCCACACAACAGCCCATCGTAACAATAATACATTGTGTTTGCATTAAACGGTTGTTCACTAATTAATGGATTTGAATGGGAGGAAAACGAGTGCATAATTTTGAGCTAAAAACTACATATACAGCAAAATTAAATGAAGAATTTAAAACTCTTTTTATATTATTTGTACGGATATTAATAGTCAGAGAACTCGTGTTCGTATCAAATGATTTCTAAATCATAGAAAACATTGAAATGGCTTTTAAAAAATATCTCATAATACTGTATATTAAGAAATATTGCTATCAATTTTAGTTTGAAAAATATTTTTAAATGTATTTAAAGTTTGTTTTTTATTAATTTCATTAAAAATCATAACATATTCAACCAATCATTAGAGGATTTACTCATTTTTAATGCAAAACCAAATGATAAGGAGAGGGAAAGAGAGAAAGAGACGAAGAAATTTATATTAATTTTCAAGGATTTGTGCGACGATTGAAATATGATATGAAGATATTTTAAGGCTTTTAAGAAATTTTAATACAAAATATGTTTTATCTCTCAGTGTTTCTCATATAGCCTTTCATAACATCAATAGATTTTAATACTATATTTTCAATTCACAAATATTCTGCACACATAACGGATGAGCGCCTATGAGATACCAAAAGTGTGTTTCTACTACTATTAAAAAATTACTCATGCTATTTAAGTGAAATTAACTTTTTAATTTAAGTTATCACGCTTATATACTAAAGAAATGGCTACGTGATTTGAGATTAATACAGCATTTGACTAGATCTTGGTTCTTGGGCTTAAATAAAAATATGTGATTTGTAATGCATTGCTGTTTTTTTAATAGAAATAGTAGTTTTTAAATACTACACCACAATTACTTTCATAGACGCCCACCCGTTATATACCATGCGATGAAATGGCGAATCAAATGGGAAATTGCATTAAATGTCTTCATTTTACTTAATTTAATATACTTTCAAAACAGACGCGCAAAGGAAACAGCGATAAAATAGTAAAGTTTGACTTACATTATGTAGTTTATAGTAAAGACCACATGCATTGCATACGGGCTCTCCGTTATGATTTCGGCGCCATAAGGTCGTAGTGGTTGTCTTGCAATTGGCACAACTGGTCCCAGCGCGACGGGCAGCAGACTATGGTAAAAACAGCACACATTAGATACAATAAACATCTCTCTCTCTCTCTCTTTCTCTCTCTCTCCCTCTCTCTCTCTCCTAAGTATAGCTTAATGTGCACTATCGGTGCGACTGCACCCGCAGGGGGTGTCATAATTGGTCAGAGAATTGCTTTGAGCGTAATTAACACTCATAAACCTCTAACCCTTTTTCAATAAGCAGACATTAAACGTGTTGTGCAATACTTTTTTCTTATCGATCAAATGATATACTGATGTCTGACTTAAGGATTAAACGCTAATGTGATTTAGTCCGCGATTGCGGATAAATATATGTTAATAATTAATGGGTGGCAATAAAATAGCGATATAACGGGTTATAGATATAGCTATTTAATTATATTTATACTAAAGAATAATTAGATGTCAAATAAATTGCCACAAAAAAATAACACAACACACAAAGTGAAATACATACGAGTCGTCTCTTAGGTTTGATGAGAGGCCTGTTCTGGCCATTCATTTTATGGTAGAGTCCGCAAGCGTTGCATAAGTAGTGTCCGGTGCCGTCCCGACGCCACAACGGGGTTGAGGTCGCGCCACAGTTCACGCACTCTCGACCTTCTTCTTGGGTCAACCATTGCATTGAGATTATCGGTTGGATTGTTGCATATGAAGCGAAGGGTCGGGTGAGGGAAGAGTGATGTGTTTGGTTTGGGGGGAAGGATAGAGACGGAGAGAAAAAATACACATAAGAATACGATTACAAATTGCAATACTCATAAAAGAGTAGTTAAATTCATATTTAATGCTCTAAATTATATGGTTTGGGAGCTGTTTGTGTTGTAACTGTTGTTGATTTATTAAATAACGCTATTATTCCGCACTTTTCTCTCCCTAAACAACACACGATCGCTGTTTTGCTGTATATTTTGTGTGTGTATTAAGTGTTGTGTGTTTTATTGTACATTATATCTGCTCATATAATTCATACACAATAAATAATCTGATTTATATTAATATCTGCTGAGGTATTGCCAAGTGGTTTTGCCATGTATTTCACTGACCCCTTATCTATTCATAACTATGTGTATTAATCTTGTGTTTAAATCAATATGTGTTTTCATGCAATATATCACTTGTACTTAAAATTTCTCTCAACTAATAATGGTTATCAAAATTGGTCTAATTTTGTTAATTTCTCGAGATATTTACCAAAACACTGATTCCTATCTATGTTGAACATTACTGGCTATCCCGATGGTTTTTTAGTTTTATATTTACTTAATATAAGCTTTATATAAGATTTTTCATAAAAAGATAATTTTAGCAACAAATCGGTTCACAAAATTTACTTTTCGACATAACAATTACATTTGATTTGTTTTGTGTATGTATTATATGCTTGTATTTAATGGATAGATATTAGAAAAATTGTTTATCGTAGGGAGAGATCAGAGAGAAGTGTAGTGTTATTATGTGTTATATTTATTTTTAAAAATAAGGAAAATAAAAAGGATAAATAAATAAATAGTTATAATAATGTATTATTTTAAAGGTATTAAAGTTATCTAAAAGGATAGGTATGGGAAATATAATGTTAAATGCATAGCACATCATAATTATGATTAGCTCTATCGCCATAGCATTAGCACCAAATCCATGTGTTATTTATATTATTAGCATTAGTTTTTGGAGAATACAAATGCAGATTAGTTTTGAAGAAAATATAATAAATGCTTTCAAATTAATGAGAAATATATTAATAAGAATATCATATATTCGCTGAGAATAACTGTTTGATATGTCGTTAAAAGTGGGCCTAAATTTCGATGAGAATTTCACTGAAATAATATTTCCAATGCTTTTATCATTGAAAATGATTGCGAAATGCAAAAAGTGCTCTCAATTCTCACCATTAAAACTAGTATTTATTGATATTTAATATTCTTGTCATTAAAAATGTTATACAAATGAATAATAAATTTTCGTTTATATAAAGTATATTATGAGATGAAAAATAGATTTTTCATTTTCACTGTTCATTCAAGTGATGACCGAAATTACATTTAAATTATAATATATTTATTCCGAAATGTATAGAAAATCATTATTTCTTTTCCATAATAAATTAATTTAAGTTTTTTTCACTGATTTAGTTTGAGTTAAAAACTTTAGAGATTTGTTTCGTTAGTAGTTTTTTTTAATACACATTGATATTAGAGTGAAAACTATAATATGGTTTTTAAAATTTTAAGTACACTTTACAGTAAAATGGGGTTAAGAGACACACAAAGTGTTATCTCATAAATTCTCAAATGATAAATAGAGAGACTTGAGTTGAATTGTGTATTAGATATGGGCTCTCTTGGACTGAGATATCAATTTTTATTATATATAAATTTATAATATTATATATAAATCTCATGTTTAACTGCATTCATCATTTGATATGACTTTTATTTTGGGGCTAAAACTGATTATCCGAAGGAAATCGCTATTAAATTGAAATGAAAGCTCTGTTGGAATTACTGTTAGATTATTATATTTCGGTGGAAACAAAATTCTCATTTAGTTTTAGAGTTAGTCATAAATATTAGAAATTAATTTCCAAACTCATTATTGGCGTCATTAGCCGACACAAACAGATGGAGATTATAATTATCTGATTAACTAATATTAGTGATGAGATAGCGGTTAGTGAAGACAGAGACAGAATGAAAGACATTGAGGTAGTCTTTGGTGGTAGTGTTGTTGGCCTTACCGGCACTGGACCTGCCTTTAGTCCGATTCTGTTTGTTTGCTGTGGAGGCGGACGAGCTGTGCATGGATTTGGAGCTAAGCAATGACGAGGCGCTGTGGTGTGAGTGGTGGGCAAAACCATACGGAGAACTAGCGCTAAGTTCGCTAACAGTGCTGTTGGTCACTGGCGGGCCGGCACTGGCGCCGACATAGTGTGCGGGATAATAGGGACTGATCGACGATGAATGATATGTATGTGCGCTTTGATTGAGGCCAGAGGAGGAGGAGAAGTTAGCACCTGTACCTTCTCTGGGTTTGCTACTCGAGCAGTTAGTTAAGGCTGAGCCCAGGCTTGTGATCATATTGTGATGTGTGGCTGCATTCACATAATACGGCTTCATTTCGGCGGCACCGGCCGTTGAGGACAGCGTATCCGAGCCGACAGAGCTGCACGCTATGGCCTGAGTGCTGCTACTGCTGCTGCCGCCACCCCCGCCGCCGAACTCGTTGCCAGACAGCGAACCCGTGCCACCGCTCTGACCGTTGTTGCCGTGCGATACCGACGCTCCGTTTTGGCCGCCGCCGGACACGTTGTCCGGAGTGGCGTCTTTCGGTGGCGTCGGCGGGAAGCTAAACAGATGCGGACTAGGATGGGAGGGCCCGGAGGGAGCGTGTGCTACACCCATGCCTGGGGGACTGTTGTGGTGAGACATCGACGGCCCTTTGCCCGACGCGCCGAACGGCAGGCACCAGCCCGCGGGTCCGCCCGGATGGTGCCCGTGATGGCCCGCGTGCGCCACCACCTGTGGCTTACCATCGCCTGAGAGCCACGGGTGTAGAGGGCTGTGGAAGTGTGGCCGACATACCTGACCACTCGTCACACGAGCTATAAATAGATGATACAAATCACATATTAATTACATAAGGATGTGAACAAATTATATTAGAAAATATTTGTTTGTTTTTAAGTGCAATTAATTTAAAGATTTATTCGTCAATTCAATTATATAACATATAATTGTTTTGTTTGTGTTTTAGTCTTGTTTTGTTGTTTAGTAAAACCATTTTGAGTTTATTTATCGATTGACTTATATTTAAATATTTATTCACTTTTTTGTTTGTTTCTATCGTTTCGATGAATTTATGTGTGAATTAAATGTTTTGCAAAATTAATTTATATCAAAATTGGTATTTATTTATAACACATTTATTTATTGATTTCCTACTATTAAAGGGTTAAATATATTAATCAATCGCTTTATTCGTTTATCAATTATTGAAATTAATTTATATTTACTTATAAATACTATGCATATTATAAATGGTGTTTCGCTATACAGTATACCCTATGAGTTAAAACTTAACATAAAAATATTAATGAATTAATATTGAGTTTATGATCTTTCGCTCATTTATTACCGATATTTAAGCCCTAAAAGAGTCAAACATTAATGCATTTATATATTATAAGAATATGTATTTATTCTCTATTGTAAACACCGTTCGCTAAATATAAGGTTTTT